CTCGACATGCCATCGAGACAGTATCTTCGCCGTCGCTCATGAAAGTGATGTTTTCCTGTCCGCGCCCAATCATGTATCTCCCAGGACTGCCATGGAATGCTTCCGCACCGGAGGCTCTCAGGCACTATGTTGGAGCATGGTAGGAAAGTGCTGCAATGCCGACAGCCTCGAGTTTGAAGGCTATGCTTGCATCATTTATTGGAGCCAAGGAAGAGCCACGTATTTGTATGTGAATCCCGCTCGCTACAACGGTGCGACCCCACGATGCCGCGTCTGCCACCAGAAAACGCTCGGTGCAATTTGAGACTATCGCATGATACAGACGCTTTGATTGGGCATTGGTACTCTGATGTGAAAATAGATCGATTGCGAGTACTTGGTTTGGGCTTCCAATCTCTCCTCACTCTAGAGCGGTTGCCAGTGACAATAGGAGAAATTCGGCAGACTGTGCTTATGACTCGCAGACAGGTGGAAGTTGCAGCAAAGCTTCGCCCTAACTGTCAAAAATCAGCATGCCGAGTGCTTGACCGCGAACGGTACGAGTCTGCGAAGCTGCTGGTTGAGGGATGTTTTCAAATGTTGCAGCATGTTCCTGGCCCTGTATTACCATACCACACGCGAGCACTCGAGGCTGTAGTGACTCCGTCGAAACTGTCCAAGTATGTGCCATAGAGTCAAAGCGAGTAACAAGCACACTTTGATGAGTGTATGATATGACTTGGCTATTGAACTAAGTGTCACGAAGAGGTGCGTGAACTGCTGTAACCGCGAACAACAAAAGGACTGCATACGCGCACGTGTTGTTCAGAGGCCAATCGCCCACTCCCCTGCCGGTCGTTGTTGATGCGGATTTGTTGATTTCCACCGGCGTTTTGCAAACGGCCCCTGCTTGTTGAGCACGATACTTGGACGTTCATACGACCGTCGAGATAAACAGATCAGAACATGACAAAGCGGCAAAAGCCCCATGCGCGATGGTCCCGCTGAACCCAAACGAGCTCAGCCGACCAGCGAATGATCGGTGCGCCTCACCTTCAGCCAGCGCCTCGACAGGCACCTAAAACGATGACAGCAGGATCGCGAACAGGTGTGTGTTCAGCCTAACATTCAGAGATTGGCGGGCCCTGAGCTAAAGGAGGACCTCCTGAGTTGCGCATTCACGGTTATCACATTAATGCTGAGAGGTATGAGCACAAGAGAGGCCAAACCTGCGACAGCTGCCGAGGCCTCCAAGTGACCCATGTTTGACTTCAAAGAAGCGCATTATATCAACTACGAGTTGGTACACAGCGCCCGAATGGCAGCACCAACCTAAATGGAATCCTCATATGGACATCATCCCCAGGAAAGATACCTCGATTGGGTCTCCAAGCGCTGTGCCCGTGCCGTGCGCTTCGAGAGCATACCTTGACGCGCCACCACTCTTTACTGCCTCGATGAGCGCCCTTTGCGAGGAACCATTCGGCGCCGTGAGACTCGCACTCGGACCGTCTTGCTAAACGCTTGAACCAGCGACTTAGGTACAAGACTCCTGCGGCTCAATCAGAAATGTCACAATCCCTTCACCACGACAGAACCCATCAGCTCAACCGTCAAACGTGTGACATCGCCCATGCGCAGAAAGCATTCCTGCTGCGGAGAAAGCGATTGACACGATAGAAGCAACCAACAAACTCCCGCCAATTGCGGCATGTGATATCTTGTCGAGAATTATTGACAGAGACCCCACATGTAGCGCAACCAAAGATGCCGAGCATGCGGTGTCGACGGAAAGGCTTGGTCCTCAAAGGCCAAGCACATATGACAATCACCCACAGGCGACTGCGAGCGACGTCGAGGTGCCAGAAAACACCGAGATCATTCAGGACCGACCACATCCTGAATCATCATCTGGGAAGCCACCGTTGGCCCCCAAGACAAACCCGATATGGTGATTTCAAAGATGAGCGTAGCAATTCGTTTTGAACGAAGCACAAATTGCCGTGGAGCTTACCTCTAAAATCAGTATCATTTGAGAGTTCATTTGAGATGACTCGCTTCTGGAAATGCCAAAAGCCCTAGCGTCCGTAGCCAATAGTGAGTCAGTGTAAGCGCCGTATTTCGCAGAGTGGTGGTCCACTGTGAGGTCACCCCAGCGAACGATTGGTAAGGTCAACTTTGTGTTTATACCTCTCGCGAGGATTGCTCTCAAGGAGATGCGAGAACGACAAGGCAGCTACATAGAAAACTCCCCCGACACGTGTAAGTTCACACTTCTGTCACATTCTGATCAGTCAAGTCGGCTGCTGACATGAGCGATATCAGCGTCATCGCAGTCATCAGCCACCACCGCGACAAAGGCGCCTGACTCAGCCACACATTATGCTAGAGCATTTACACTGGGATGATCAAAAAGGAGTGTAGACGGGACAGGCATGCGGAAGTGCTCGCTAATATTGCGCGCCAGCTCCGTTGCCGTCAGAGAATCCAGCCCGACGGACATAAGTGGCGCGTCGAGCGTCGCTGAGGTTCCGTTCAGCTCAAGAACTAGTGATTCCACCACCACAACGACGCTTGCCGGGTTCGATGAAGCAAACTGTTCTTGAGTTGGATCCGCACATACAAGCTGAGTTTGTGTTTGGTGTCCCTAGATGAATCCCCTCCGATCAGAAGTATGCAGCACACTAGAGAGAGCATTTACAGTTGGGTGGTCAAATAACAAGGTCGAAGGCAGGTTAGAACTAAACCTGATGCCCAGGCTAGCCCCGAATTCACTCGCAGAGAGGGAATCGAAGCCAACAGCCATCAACGGAGCGTCCTCATCAACTCTTGTTCCGAGTGTTTCAGAGACCACGGTGATCAGCTTGTTCACTCGAGCACCTCCCGCGCTCGAAGGTGAGCGTTTCGATCACATGTTGAAATCGCACGTATTGCATACGATTTTGCAGGCCAATGGAAAGAAAGTCTTCCTACTTGGAGTTATTTGTAGTGTTGCTACCGAGTGGAGAACTGGACCGCCCTATGCGTGGCTATCTTTGTTCCAGGGTCATTCAGAGAGAGAATACAGCCTCACAAAAATAATTTTGCCTGCGCATAATCCATCGTTTTGCTTGCGGCAACGCACCCGTGCTGTCAATTGAAAACTGGTTTGTGAATATGATTTTGGTACGCGCACTTGACAAACCCGACGCAGGGGAAGTAAATGAGTGCAGCTTGCTTTTAGCAACGAGCACCAAGGAGAAAAGTGCAAGTGGGCATGCAGCACAAGTTGGATGCAAAAAACAACAAACTTTGAAAGCAGGGATTCTTACTTGAAGCCACTTCTTCCATCTCAGTTTGAGAGTTTGCGTTCCTGGGGCCTCTTGAAACAGGCGACTCGCCTTAATGAGTCTAGAAATGCAGATTGTTGGTGATAATCCTTCGAGGTAGAACTGCGATGACACGAGCGTCTAACTAATCTATGGTTGGCGCCAATGCGCTGGTTTCTTGCTCCGACGAAAGGAAAAATCCCCTTGTGTGATTTCCATTCCATGAACTGCGAAGAAATCGAATGCGACTGCGCCGAGCCGGTCTGCGATGACCGGAGGGCCCGCGCTTGAAATCGGCGGAACGATAGCCGCACTGATCTTCCAGCAGGACCAAGCTCATTCTGAAGGGTGCAATTTGCCTGGCTTTCGCAGGGCGTGTATATCAACCCTATCGTCTGAACCACAGCGAAAGACAAACAAGGGCGCCCGTCGTTTCATGCAAGCAGAACAGAGTTGATCCCCGCTGGGACATATGTCTCTTGCGTTGACGACACCGGCTCTTGGTGAACTCGTGAGATCGCATCTCGGGCGACGGACGCAACTCTGGACAGGGGACGTGTCATAAACGTGGTTTGCTACTTTCTCGTTCCCGCAACCCGCCTGCCAGTCACATGAGTTGCTACGACATCAGAAGCCAAGCTGGATATCTCGTACGCTCCTGTAGCGGAACTCGTGTATTGAATCTGCTGATTCGTGCGAGAGAGCACGCATGGTCGCGCAATTACCACTTTCGAAAGACGCGATTATTCTAGTTTGGAGGTAGACGCAACAAGAGCCAATTCTTGATAAGTAACACCAGGCAGGAGAATCTGCGTGCCAACAACATGATCGCTGAGCGTTTCAAATGCGTGCCGGGATAAAGCACCGTTCATTGTTGTTTTGGCCTCGACTGCCGCTTGTCAGCATGATGTGCTCAGCTCCGAGTGCATTGATTAGTTCTTTAGCTGGTGGATTCTGGAATAGCGCAGCAGAGACATTGCAACACCCGTTGTGGATGCTACACACGCAAGATCAGTTTTTGCGAAATAATCCTCGGCGAACGCGAACAGTCCGTGCGTTATGGTGCCGCTCGCACCAAAGGAGCTGACTCAGCTCTGCGCAACCGGTCTGTTCGAAAGTAGCTATTGAATCAAAATAACATCCTAAACTGGCATATAAAAACGAGATCTCTTCAAAAGCGAAGCCAAGTGCGGATTGAACACATGGAGCTAACAATTTGGTGCATCCAAGGTGGTCTCCAACGAAGTTGAAACTAATGACATGATTCCTCCTCCAGATGCGGCAGACTCTAGATGGCCCATATTTCCCTTGAGAGACGAGCTCTATACGGCCGCAACTGCAGGAAAACTACCGATGGCGGCGCCAACTTCGATTGGGTCCCCGAGGGCCGTGCCCGTACCGTGCGCCTCCAACGGAATCGTCAATCCAGTCATTTTGTCAGGCGATTGCACCGATTGAATTAAGCGGCGCTGCGCCGAACCATTCGGTGCGGAGAGACTCGCGCTTGGGCCGTCACATTACACGGCCGTTGCGATCACGGACCGCCCCGGTATTTATCTCGAGTTCAATGCCGTGGTCAGCAGAATGGATACGCAGCTCTCCCCCCGCGCATATCCATCTGCGCGGATGTCAAAGGTGTGACATCATCCTAGTAGCGAAAGCATTCCACTTTTGGCAAACCCAAAACTCCACGCGTGACCCAGCAACCCTACACCCAACGCTAGCCCATCACCACAGGCGTGGTGTCCGATTTCGGCTCTGGCCAGATGAACCGCTACTAGCTAGGTCGAGCACGCCGTGTCCAGCGTGAGACAGGCGCCGTTCAGACCAAAGGTGAAAGAGACCAGCCCAGACGAGACATTGGCATGCGTAGGTGCATACTCGGAGTTTGAACTCACGACGCCCTCGACGGGTTGCGTGAGCATACCTACGTAGACTGCCACATCAATACCTGTAGATGACCTCGGTCGTAACTCCAGGCAAGTTCGCGAGCATTATAACAGTAGTAGATTCTAGGGGTCTTGGTTACAAACGAAGTGTTGCGACATCTTGAATGAGCGACCATCATCAACGAGGGCACCGACTAGCATAAATGAGCCGTAACTCGCAGAAACATTCTTGAAAAGCTAGGCAGCATCCCAGCGCGCGTAGGGAACATGGGCTGGAGTTGTCGTTGCAGTAAATTGAAGCTCACGCAAGCCTTCAATATCGTCAATCGCTGCTGGCATCTCAAAGCAACAGTAGTCGAGCCATATTGACGTCGAAGACCACAACGCCACGATTGTTTCTACATGGTGGCGGGGCGATGTTGAACGCAGCGA